ATAAGACAAAAATTAAAATATCCATCAGCTGCACCAAGACGTTATAGTAGGCTTCCACAAAGATGACAGCCTCGGAAACCCGATGGGGCAGTGCTACTTTGTCCTGTGGAGTCGCTGTGAGTTCGAATCGAATGACTTGATGGAAACATTTTATTATTATTTTTTAAATTCATGTATCATATGTCACTGTGAAGCAAATTATAAATGTACAAAGAAAAAATTTGCATACTCTTAAAAAACTTCATTTGTCATGGGGGAAACAGTTCTCCTTTCCTGTAAAAACAAAGACAAACAAAGCAAACTTTTGACTGTTGAATTGATTCTCACTCAAGGTGACTCCAAGCTTCAGTGTAGTGGGGAAATCACATTGGGACAACCTTGGGAAAATTAATTCCTTTATCTGTAAAATGATGACAGTGAAGGTTATCTATAAGTTTTGGTAAATATTGGTCTTATATTTGGTACAGAAAAGGTGATCAATGATATTCTACTGTCTGGCATAACTGCCCTATCCCCTACCCTTTGCCTCCTTCACAGTAATGAATATCTCTATATTTATATCCATAGCTAAGCGTTCTGGAAGTGTAATGGTTAAGCACTGGCTGCTAACCGTAAGGTTGGTGGTTTAAGTCCATAGCTCCTCCATTCAGAGCCTAGAAAGGTAATGGGGCAGTTGGACTCTATCCTAGAAGGTTGCTAAGGAACCCTGGTGGCACTGTGAGATAAGCACTGGACTGCTAATCACAATTGGTTCAAATTGTCCTGATGTGATGCTGTAGAATAAGCACTGGACTTCTAACCACAAGGTTGGCAGTTCAAACCCACAAGCCACTCTTTGGAAACCCTACACAGGGTCACTACGAGTCAGAACCAACTCGACAGCACTTAACAAAAACAGAATGAGCCGGAATCCACTCAGTTGCAGCGTTTTGTTTTCTAGGATTGTTATGAGCTAGAATTAACTCACTGGTAATGTGGTTTATTTATTTGTAATTTTTGGTGTATAGCTATTGCTCTGGAGTCCTGCGGTAGTGCTGTGGGATAAGCACTGGACTTCTAACGTCAAGGTTGGCAGTTCAAACCCACCAGCCACTCCTCGGAACCCCATACAGGGTTGCTATGAGTTGGAACTGACTCAACATATTATGCACAATATGTAATTTACTCATTCAAAAATTACTAATACTTTGTATGAATCTTTTTGTAAAAAAAGATAAGCACTTCGATTATTTCCAATTGTCTAAAACCCAATGTAGGGTCACTATGAGTCTGAACTGACTCAGCAACACTTAACAACAACAACAACAAATTACAAAACTATCTTCCCCTTTATTTTAGTTTAACTCTCACACACAAAGCGCCTAGTGCAAAGTTGACCTTCAGTAATTGATGCATGAGTGTTATTAACAAAGATGTGACTTATATAGTGATTTGAAGCAACTTGCTCTGGTAGCATAGTGGTTATGAGGCGGGCTGCCAACCTCAAGGTCAGCAGTTCGAAACTACCAGCGGTTCTGAAGGAGAAAGATGAGGCCTTCTGCTCCCGTAAAGATTTACAACCTAGGAAACCCTGTGCAGGGTCACAATGAGTCGGAACCGACTCCACGGTACTTAGTAACAGCAACAACCTTTTTTAATGGAGTCCTGGGGTGGAGCTGTAGGATAAGCACTCAATGGCAAGGTTGGTTTGAACAACAAGGTTGGCGGTTCAAATTCCCCAGCCGCTCCTTGGAACCCTATACAGCGTCACTATGGGTCAGAACCGACTCAACGGTGCTTAACAACTTGCTTAATGGTCCAAAATCACTCATTCGAGTGCCCATATAACAAATAGAGTAAATCAGAACTCGCCTATATATTTAACACGAGAGTTGATCTTAAAAATGATATTAATCATTAGGCACCCCAGGATTGGGTTTTCTCCTTTGTTAAATCCCTTTGTGAATAATACTTTGCCCAGAAAACTGTAAAAAAGCAGCAACAACCAAAAAATCAAAAGCAAAATACCAAACACCAACAAAAGACTATCTTTCTGAGATAAGAATTTCTCAGTTAGGTTCTATTTTAGCCTTTGTAATCTTAGTAGCATCTCTGAATATCCTAATATTATTGTTGTTGTTAAGTACTATACCTGTATAGGTTTTCCAAGGAGTGGTTGGTGGGTTTGAACTGCTGACCTTGCAGTTAGCAGTCCAGAGCTTATCCTACAGTGCCACGGCCAGGATTCCACACATTCTAGTAGGCACGTCAATTTCCAGGGAAGGGTACTTCTCTCATCCAAGGGTATCTAACATTCGTTAGCATCTTGGGATGGATTTAGGCTCCATTTAAAATGGACTGGGATCTCAGACCTCGCTGATAGTTTTGGATTTCCCACTATAATCATATTATGTATGCCAGGCAGTAGAGGAAATGATAAGAAGAAAAGATAGGAAAAAAACACACATACACACACACATTTCAGTTGCAGTTAATGCAATAATTAAATGGAAGTCGTATGCTTAAATTGCAGTTGGAATAGGAAATTAAATTACATTTAAAAAGTGTTATAGATTTGGACAAGTTTTCATACTGTTAATAAATCTATGCATAATTCATTTTCTTGTAGGCTATGACAAAATAGCATAAATAACTTCATTTGTAAGGCTGTGAATTTTTCTATTCTTAATTCTTAATTGGGTGACAGCTAAAGCCATTTAAATGCTTCTGGATGGCTGAATATATAAATGTTTAAAATGAGCAGTTATAATAGGTTTCTAGGCAGATTTGTTTATTTAATCTTTTTACATTTATTTTAAGATACTAGCCTAGTACAGATGTTGCATAAAAATTGCAACCAATATGGTGTGAGTTTGATATGGTTTTTAAGATCGTTGCTGTTAAGGGTCGTTGAGTTGGTTCCGACTCATAGCTACCCTGTTTGACTTTGCAGTTCAAACCAACCTTGCAGTCCAATGCTTATTCTATTTCTGCTACTGAAGAAAACAACCTGATGATACTTGTTAAGCAAATATTTATGCTAGGCTTTATACATGGATCCCAGGTGGCACAAGGGGTTAAGCCTTGGGTTGCTAGCCAAAAGATAGGCAGTTTGAACCCATCAGCCTCTGCCTGGAGAAAGATGTGACAGTCTGCTTCTGTAAACATTTACAATCCTGGAAATCTTATGGGGCAGTTCTACTCTATCCCATAGTGTTGTTATGAGTTGAAATTGACTTGAAGGTAGTTGATTGTTTTGTTTTGTTTTTGGTATAGACCTAAAAGCAAGTATATCAACTGATGAGAAAATTGAGGCTCAAAGAATTTAAGAGTTAGTTAACCCCAGGCTCCAGAGGTGGTTAATGGCAGAGTAGTGGCTTTGACCCAGGTGCTTTGAATGTCTAACACTTGCTTTTTTCCATGACCTACAGCCTGACACCTCACATACTCGGAGCAGTTGAGCCCCTGAGTGTCTGAGAGCCAAGCCTCCTTTATTGGAAGGAGTTTCTTGCTACAGGGAGTCCCTGGGTGGTTCAAAGTTTAAGTAAGCATTGAGCTACTAATCTAAAGGTTGGTGGTTGGAGTTCACCCAGAGGCTCCTTGGAGGAAAGGTCTTGCAATCTACTTCTGAAAAATCAGCCATTGAAGACCTCATAGGGCACAGTTCTACTCTGACACACATAGGGTCAGCATGAGTCAAAGCGGACTCCTGGGAAATTGTTTTTATATATATTTTTCTTTTCTTGCTACAGCAGTGAGCATCAGCACAGCATTCCTTAGGTGTTTGCAGTAGCTGTCATGGTAGAGTCTGTCTTGTGGTTCCCAGGAGCTGTACTTGGGCAGTGATGGGAGCCACTGAAACTCAGCCTCATTCTAATGCTGTTGTTAAGTACCGTGGAGTCTGTTCCAACTCATAGTGACCCTGCACAGGGTATCCAAGGTTGTAAATTTTTACGGGAGCAGAACGCCTCATCTTTCTTCCGCGGAACTTCTGGTAGTTTCGAACTGCTGACCTTGTGGTTGGCAACCCGACTCGTAACCACTATGCTACCAGAGCTCCTTGAGGAGCCCACTTTTGGTAAAGGCAAGGTCTTCATTACCAGAGACATATGGGGAGCCAGAGACAACCCTTGGCTGCCTTGTGGGAATAGTGGCAAACCTGCTCCCAGAACCCTCAGGGGACCGAGTACAGAGCTGCTTGAATCTGTGTGTTGATCTGGGTTTGTGATTCATAGAGACCATGACTGCCACCACTTAGATGACAATATTGGAGGGTTTCCACAAGCATGTCATATGTCTGTTTATACTGTGATATTCATACATTCACAGCAACAGCTTATTAAGATCTTTCTAGATTACCTGATGAAACTCAGGGTTGTCACATTCATCACCCAATACACACCTGCTCATTTTTCAGAAGAATGTGGAGTGAGAGGATGGCTAAGGCATTGGGTTTCCATGATGCTGCAGGCACACTGCACGCCAACCCGCTGGCTGCTTGACCTTGGGCCAGTCATTTAACCTCTGCTGCACTTTACTTCTCATCTGTGTATAATGGAGTGATAGCAATACTTGTCTCACAGTGTTGTTGTGAGGATGAGTGAAATAAGTCAAGAATTTCATGGAACACTTAGTACATATTAAATACTCAACACTTGTTAGCTATTGTTTTTATTCTCCTTTCTCTGCTAGACCCTTCTTCTGCCCCTGGGAAGGTAAACTATGTGTTAATATGTGAAAACAGAGATTAGCAGAATCAGCATACATTCACCCCCTCACTCCCACCCCATTGAATGCTATTGCTGTTATTGTTAAGTGCCATTGAGTTGATTCCATTCATAGCTACCCTGAATAGAGTTTCTGAGGAGCAGTTGGTGAGTTTGAACCACTGATCGTGTGGGTTAAACTGACTTTGTGGTTCAGTGTTTATCCTACATAATGCTATTAGTGACATGAATTTACTGGGAATTGCTTTGGAAGTTCATTAGCCAACTGTAAGTATCTAATCTTTTTCCATTTAGGGGAGTGAACGGCAATCTAAGTCAACAATTGGGTACAGTGACAACTTATCTCCTCAACCCACAAAGAGAAAAGGAAAAAAGGAAGATGCAAATTCAGAAAAACCCACAAAAGTGAAACAAAATGCAAAATTAAAGAATTCACCGCAAACAATTCCAAACAGTGGTAAGTTAGCTGCTATTATTAACAGTCCTCTTGAGGCTATGACACGACTTTAGTTCCTACACAGGTTTATTAACTTTCCTGAATGCATACAAGGTACTCTATAAGAGAGTTTTTGAGTAAGGCTTTTTTGGCATATGATGGCTACTGCTGTTTTTCACACTCAGTTTCTTAGATGTTGTATTGGGAGAACACTCACTTTAGAATCAAATGTTTCTTATGGTGGGCTTATAGAAATGATGACGTTTATCATCGCCTGCTCCTACTGATAGTACTTGATTAACATTTTTAATCAACTACTATTGACAACAGTTTCCCTTATAGAAATATCTTGTAGTTATTGAGGGTTCTGTTCCAAACCACCACAATAAGCCAAATATGGCAATAAAGCAAGTCACATGATTTTTTTGGTTTCCCAGTGCATATGAAATTTATGTCTACACCTGACTGTTGTCAATAGCATTATAAAAAAGTTTGAAATATCTTGGGAATTACTAAAATGTGACACACAGATGCAAAGTGAGCACTGCCGTTGGAAAAATACTGCCAGTAGACTTGCTTGATGAAGGGTTGCTGCAAATTTTCAATTTGTAAAAAAATATGCCATATGTGTGGAATGCAATAAAGAGAGGTATGCCTGCATTTGTGCCTCCACGGCCCATAGCCACCTTTATTCGATTCGTTTCTCACACAGAAAACCTTTCCTCACAAGATGTCTTATGTCAGTATAATTGGTATTTAGGGAATAAAATACATACAAAACTTTACCAAAATGCAATAAGATATGTACCAAAAATAGTTAATGTAATATTTTTCTTCATTACCAGGTAAGAGATGGTATAGCAAAATTGCTCTTAAAAACTTGCATTATCATGAGATTTTAGGATAAAAGTGTGATGAACTAAGGGGGAATGGAATCAGAATGGTCCATTTTCACATTAAGTTTCATGAAAAAGGGTTATTTTAAAAAAGAATGATTTATTTTGTTGTTGAAAATGTGCACAGAAATATATGCATCAATTCAGCAATTTCTTTATGTGCAATTCAGTGATGTGAATGACCTACTGCAAGTTGTACAAACATTCTCAGCCTCCTTTTGTGATTTCTCCACCATGATGATGAACTCACTGCCTAGAAGGGCTCTTTTGAGTTTCATTCCAAGCTCGTTCCCCATGAGAGTGGAGTGGTGGAGGCCTGCAGATCAGCCCAGTAGAGAAACTACTTTTCCTTCACACTGGGGATCCACTCACACTCCCTACAGTAGGACGGATTCATGGACAAAGCCCCATTTTGTGCTTAGGAGCTCCCAGTATTTTTCACTGTATTTCAGTATTTATGAGCAGTCACATTAGAACCACAGCTAATGAAGCCTTCACAACTGACAGGACAGCATTAACTTATGTGAGAGTCTACAAGAAGCTGTCCAAATGATGAAAGAGTTGAAAAAAACATGCATGGGATTAGCTTTAAAAAAACCCCCAAACCCAGCTAACTGAATGAACCATTTACACAGAGAGGGATCAATTACACAAAATGCAAGGGGGCTTAAGTCTTGGATGATTTAAGTAATGATGACAGCTTAAGTAATAATGATAGGTTCAAGTCAGAGTCTTGGATTCTTGTCCTCGTGCTGCTGTTGACTTTGGACAAGTCATGGAGGCTTCTATTTTTGACTGTATTATCATTTCTATAATGTGGTTTATGCTAAGATTTGTCTTTAAAGTTTTGCTTGTCTAAATTGGAATTCCCCACACTTCTGTGAGCTTGTACTGTGATGGTTTGCATGCCAGGAAAATCACATAGTAGGAAGAAGGGGAAGAGGGCCCACTTCTGAAGGATTAGCCACTGAAAACCCTATGTACCGCAGCAAAATGTTGTCTGATATGATGCCAGAAGATGAGCCCCTCAGGTTGCAAGGCATTCACAATATGCACGCAAAAAAAAGTAGAGTTGACCTTAATGACATGGATGGAGCAAAGCTTTTGGGACCTTCATTTGCTGATGGGGCACCGTTCAAAATGAGTAAAAAACAGCTGCAGACATCCATTTATAATTAGCACACAGAATGTACGAAGTATGAATCCAGGACAATTGGGAATTATTGGAAATGAAATACAATGGACAAAGATTGATATCCTGGCATTAGTGAGTGAAAATAAACAGGTATTAGCCATTTTGAATCAGACAGTCATGTGGTTTACTATGCCAGAAATGACAAAGTGGAGATAATTTTGACACATTCATCATAAAAAAAAAGTCAGGGTCTATCTTGAAATACAATGCTGTCAATAATAGAATGATATCTATATGACTATAAGGAGGACCAGTTAATATAAATATTATTCAGATTTACACATCAATTGCTAAAGCCAGTGTTGAAGAAATTGAAGAATTTTGCAGTGAATAAGGAAGAC